TAGTATTATAAAATATATATATTTTTTTTTCACGAACCGTTTGTTTGGCAACTGTCTATACGCACTCAACGGTCATAAATTGTAATTCGTACGGGATTAAAATAGTCTGCTCTTGCTGATATAAATGTCACTCTTTTAAAAGCGAATATTAGAGAGAGGATATACGGATATGGAGCAATTTAATTTATATCTGTACGCAACGATAAATTATTAGTAATTAAAAACGATTATGAGCAGAATATTATTAGTCGTATTTTCCCCCTTGTTGCCAAAATAAGTCGGAAATCAACAAAAAATATTCAACAAACTACCATCAGGCGCGCACCCAGGATTTTTGTTTTTTTTTTTTTTGGGGGGGGGGGCTTAAAGATTTGTTTAATGACTGTAGAGACACCTAACCAGTATAATGTTCTAGAATCGACGGTCAAAATTATTATTGTTATCGTAGTTATCGATTTAAGATGACCGGTACCGAAGTAATCGCTAATATAAATCTCCAAATTATTTTCAACGAAATAATCGATCGGCGATTGCCATAAACCTTATTCCGCACTATTGAACTATTAATGTGCAACAAACATGTTAATCAAATGAAAAAAAACGAGACGTCTTAGGATAATGGGGACGGGTGCAGTCACTGTTACAGATAATTTAATGCATATCTGTAAGCAACGATAAACCGTTGCTTACGAAAAAACGATTCTGAGTGGAGTGGAGTTGATAGTGATGTTTTGTCAACCATGTATGTCATTTTACAGTAAAATAATTAAATAGGCTTTACATATTTTCTTTGATAATATTTGTTTAATGTTGTACCGATTTTCCCAGTTTTCCAACGTTTTTTACAGTTTTCTCATGTTTTATTCCGGTTTTTTTTACATGTGCTGGGAAAACTATTAGGAAAATCGAAAAATGACCTTTCTACCTAGTGAAATATCTTTTTAGAAACATTGCTATCTTTATAAATTGGAGCAAAATTGCTGGTAGAAAAATTGCGCACAGATAAAAAAAAAAAAACTAACATCTTCGTAAAACCATAAGCTTCTTCGCTTCATTCAGAATCTAAAACATATTTTATTATTGTAACAATAATAATAATATTATATAATATAAAATTATTTGGGTGGGGCGTCAGTCCAAAGTCCCCCCTGGGTGCCACTGCCACCTATTTCCATTTATTTAGAAACATACAAGAAAAATACAAAATAATCTCCTCAATGCACTAACTGGATCTGAAGTGTTTTAAAAATCTCACTTATCGTTTTTTGATTATAGCAAGATTTCTGGTAAAACCAATATACATTTCTGATTATGTTTAGAATCTAAAAGTTATCCACCTCACCTACATAACTCATGGTAGAACAAATATAAATAAATTTGTTTATGAGATACAACCTATAAATTTTGTCTATAATTTGATAATATTATTATAATGCTTTATTCGCGTACGTCGATCAAATTTTTGTTAACTAGGGATAGAAAATAATATGTCGGTAAAGATGTTCAAAACAGATAACTGGACGGAAATCGGTTTTGCTGCAACGATGCGCCTCAAACGTCTCAATTACCTCCGTAGTTAAAAACTCTTTGAAGAGGGAGAAGAATAGGAATTGTTAGGTATTATTAAAATATTTTGTAAATTATTATAATAATAGTAACAACTTCGCAGATCTATTTTATAATAAGGCGGTAAAAAGAAACGTTAATATTTCGTTACACGGAATTTCGCAGTAAGTCAATATAGCATAAATAATAATACACCAGTGAACGAAAAAAAAAAAAAAAAATCGTGTTTGATGCGATATTTTTCAATTTGTTTTTGAAATTGGTTCACGCGCGCGGGTCTTTTAAATTATTTTGATCACGATCCAATTATTATTATAGGTAGGTAGATATAGGTGTACAGAAACCGGATATAAAATTGTTAGTTTATAGAAATATGATGTGTATAATGTGTAGAGGAGTATAGTGCTAGAGTGTATCATGCTGCAAAAACACGACTGGGGATTGGGTGTACGTTTACCTTATCAGATACACACAAATATTCTATATTAAAATCGATAATCGACTTTACTATACTTATATATATATATATAAACACGCGTTTCCGGTCAAACCAGACTTATAATACCATTAATTTATAGTTGATATCCGAAAACGTTTTGCTTCCGTCAAATTTGTCCTAATAAGTTCGGGTACTCTTCATCAATTAACGGCTGAAACGAACCAAAAAGTGAATTTTGTATTTTTGTATTTTTTTTTTACTGTTTTTTTTTTTTTTTCATTTTTGATGGTTTTTAGGACGTATACACCTGGGCCTTGCTTATAAGTTACAATAATGAATTATTGACCGATCAATCGGATGCGTATTATGCGTAGGTATTATATCGGTGATTAGTGGTTACCTACTAAAGAACATTCGTATCTGTAATCCTGCAATGTATAATATTATTCCCTTCGCTATACCGTTAAAGTCGACGGATCCATTGGACACGGTAATAGCGGTTACGGTGACCGGCATACTCCCGGACGTCTCTCGATATAGGGACGATCAAGTGTATAATACACAAGCCACAATGTGTGTCCATCATGTTTTATGAGTTTTTAAATCTTTATTAATATTTCATTTTTTATTTAAATTTAATTTTGTATCGGGTGGAGCGGACACACATATAAGAAAAAATAAATTTTAATTTTCACCCCCTATTCACTAAGTATCGATTGAATATCAAAAGATTTAAAAATCCGTAGAACCTATAAGTTACTAGTGATGTGCATTTCCAAATAGTTTATATACATATACAATAGTACATATTGTTAATTTTTGATTAGTTTGGTTAAACTATCCATTTCTTTCATTCAAATATTTTTTCCACGACCGAAAATAATTTTGATCAGGAAAAAAAAAAGTGTTTTCGAAACCGAATAGTTAAATTACTGGAATAGTTTTTAACGTATCGAATTATTCGATAGTAAGTATTTGGTTGTGCCCATCAGTAATTAATACCCGAATTCAATATAGTTGTTTTATTTATAATGTAATATGTACAGTACGAAAATCTGTAGAATTTTTAAATTTCGAATTCCGTAACATGTATAAATGGAACGTTCGGATCTGGACGGCTCGCAAAACTGGATATTCGTCGCCATCTGGTTCCGTCGATCAACTACCTTGTTATAATGATTATACCAACTAAATTATTTTAATATTTATATATACCTACTTATAATCGTATTATTCTTGATACTCGCTGCAACTCTCACTCGGCGCTGATGTTTAGTGGCTATACGGATATCCCTCGATTTTTTATTTTATTTGAACATTACAGTAGCTTTACATCGTTAAAAAAAAACAAAACACAGAATAGTATTAAATACAATAATAATTATAACACGTCATTCCCGTTGACGGTATGGTAATTTAAAAATAAAAATTATCCTTTCCAATATACGTGTAGATTATAGGTATATATATAGCGAGGTTTTTAAAATATAATGTCACTTATATATTTATGAAATTCAAAATATCAAAATCCAAACTTTGTTTTTCGGTTTTTTTTTCATAGTACACTGTACTTTTATCTACAACAAAGTGTAGCAATTAAATAAAGAGTATTTTTAATTGGTTTAGACGCCCTCACAACGGTTTTCCCCTTCCGAGTCAAATGCTCTTGTTCTAGTGCTTCTCTCATAACTGGAACCATATCTTTGATAGACTTCAACTATGTCAGGCCTTTTAAAACCGATTTCACAGTACCTTGGATGTCTTTAAAATCTTCATAACACTGGTCTTTGTTCATCTTTGGAAATAGCCCGGTGGAGACATTTAGGGCTGTATGGAGGTTTGGAATGCATTGCGATATTTCAGGGGGTTTTTATAAAATTAAAGCTATTGTCATGCGAGCAGGTAAATTTACGTGGTGAAAGGTCCAATTGGTTTTGGCTTCAAACAACCAGACGAGCAGTTGCGTTGATTTGGCTTTAAGTCATTCGAGCTTTTGATGGATGCCCCCCCCCCCTTATTCGCATACACGTGATTGTATAAATTACTCATTACTGAACACATATTAAATTTTTTTTTAAAGATTTCTGTAGGGTTTTCGCCACATTTCACAGGAAATTTGATAATGACCCGTTGTTATTTTTACGTTACCCATTTTTTTGACGCAACGTTCCAACACCACTGACTTTAAAAATTCACGAAACATAGAATATAATTTTAATTACGATCAAACTCGATTGACTCGTATACAAACTTTCGAACTTCACGATGAGCTTATTTCGAAGGTATTAATTTAACCACTTTAGAACGAAATTCTCGTTACTTAAATTGCACTTAAACTTCGTATACATAGCTAGTGAATATGCGCGTGTTTCGTTCGTCTAGCTCTTATCGTCCCCAGAGACCCAAAAGTCGTATTTTACTTAAACTACAGTAGTATAACTATTATGTACTATACTTTTATAATATACGTTTACACAATTTACTGTCAAACAACAGTACCCGCAGTTAAATATTGTAAGTACCGTCATCGCGTCGTGCGACGTGTGATATAATTTGATGATATTATTTGGTGTATTATTTCGAGCGGTCGCAGCAGCAATAACAACAGAATACGACTCGCGCGTTTACTTTCTTTGACTGTGGTGGCGGGGAAAAATATAGTTTTAAAAAACTAACCACGTGTCCACGAGGACCGGACATTCGTGGTTCTAAGTTTTATATATATATATATAATTTTTTTTTAATATACAGAGACCGTACGCCGAGCAACGAGAAGAAAAAAACCGGCGAGGGGGTACAACTGCAGCGTGTCGTTCTGGTGTACATTATAGACGGTGGTGGTGTCATATATACGTACACCGGTGCAAGTATAATATTATAGTTGTTAACTAGCCTACTTTCTTTTGCCGCCGCCGCCGCCGCCGCTACCGCCGTCGTATACACATCGGAAACCGACCAATAAACCCACATTCGATTTCGTTCATTCGACTTGTCGCCGGCTACGTACGCGCACGCTACCGTACAGTTCATTTTTTTTTTTTTTTTTTATCTCCGACCGTTTTACTTATATTATAACACCGCGTATTTTTTCCGCTTGTTTGTAGGTACAGTAACTCGTGCGCAGTCCACGAGACGCAACAGTCCGGCTGCACGAAGACGGTCGATGGTTTAACATCGTTTGTTTGTTTATTTATTTATATTTTTTCGTAATCCACTAATCGGTTTGTTTTCCACGCGCTCAGTAGTTTGTACACGCGATAGTGTCATCCGTATACGCTAAGGTATACGATATAATCGATCGCTATAAATCCGTTCCGTTGAACTTACCAGTGAACCTATATAGGCATATAAATAATTATACGTACATCGCAATCAAGTATAATAGTAATTATACCGTTATACACGCTGCGCGTCGACTGCCGTGCTTCAACGTTTATTTTACAGTAAGTCTAACAATTATTATTACCTATATTATTGAAATCCCCCGTTATTATTATCGGTGTGCCCCGTACGAAAGAATCCTTGTGTGAATATTATAATATCGACCATTCGGTTCGACATGTCAACCACTCAAAAAAAAAAAAGGACTTTCGTTTAGTAATTATATTTTTCAGTACAATTTTAATTCAATAAAAAATAATAGAAATCAGCAGTTATATTATTGATGTTTCGTTTAAAAAAAAAACAAAAATCATAATATTATTTGCTTAGATTATATCATAATATACAATTGTAAATCATTATAATATTGCTCTCCAGATAAAGTGTTTATTATTAAGTTGATGAAGTTTTGAATTGTGGATAGTCGAAAATAGGGTAGATTTTTTTTTTTGTGAATTATAACTTAAAAATCCTTTTAGGTTTTATCCACGCGTAACTTTTATAAAAAAATGTAAACTCGAATTTTTAGAAATGTTTATTTAAAAATCCACAAAGCACATCTCTTTGTGCCAACGACTTTATTTAAAACATTTGTATGGTAATTTTCCTTAAAAATATATTTTATTTGTTGTTGGAAATCTAGAAAAAAATTTCGAATATATTCTGGGTTCAATTAAGGGAAAATTCATCAAAAGACAAATGATTTTACCAACTAATTTTTGTTTTAAACGTGATAAAATATAATGTCGTCGAAAATTATTTCAACTATACATATACTTACATTAACTTTGTGAAAATGAATCGATCGTCTCAAACAAATTTTAACAATAAATAATCATTTAGAGATTTATACAAAATGTTGAAAATAAAAGTATCACGATACGCTTCGTTATATATAATTCGAGATATTGGACGAAAATATCTGGGGCTTTTGAACGATTATTGGGCGCTCTGGGCAATTAGCTTGCATAGGTAATGCGGCCGAATGTGGTTAATCCGGATCCGGCAGTAATTATAATAATTATATTGCCGCCGATCGTAGAAAATCTTTTAAAGCACATACGGTGTGAAAGTTTTAAAGGATCTTTTTTAATATTAACCGCTCGGAAATGATATTTAAATATTCACGAATCGAAATCGCATTAGACGTACACAAACACTCGCGTTTTATTTCGTATTTCTTTTCTCAGATCATAATACGCACGTGTATCTATATTATATTATAATACACAATAGTCACAATGAGAAATCACGCGTATACGTCTAAATAATAAAAATATTATTGTCGGGGTGCAGGCCGAAATTACCGTGTCCGAAACACGCGGGTTAATACTTTGCATATTATTGCCGTTTAAACATCTGTATAAATGCTGTTTTGACGTTATTACAGTTTTACTTTTGGGAACCGCGGTTCTTTTTTTTTTTTTTTTTTATTGGATTCCGTTTTATAGAAGTGAAAACTTATTCGATAATATATTTGTATGTACACACACATATATATATATACCTACCTACTGCAGTACTACACTATTGGGATTAACACTTTCGCCCGAATTATATTCTCGAAAATTCGTGTCCGGTTAATTTGCTCCGTTGTTATTGTACCGATGTATACAAACGTCGTCATCATCGCCGAAATCATTTAATAAAATCATTAAAATGCGTATCACACTATTTATGGTACGGACCAAAAAAGCTCTGTTTTCGGTTTACATTGTGTATCATTATCTCTTTGGAAAATACGCATAAGCACATATCATGAATATGCGACTGATTTTCTAATATTAATTACAAAGTATAATTATAATAAATCGTCAAAAGTATGCCTACATATGTGCATACGATATTTTATTAGGTTATTAATTTCTTTAACTTTTACTCCCATTATAAAATGACGTTCTTTTTTTTTTTTTTATCAACGGTTATAATATTTTTTCGTTCGCTGTTTATATTTAGATTCTGACTGAAGCGTATAATGTATCGGTTTTACTATAATGTGTTTTTTAAAAAAAAATTATCTACCAAAAATGTTGCTCCAACCAAATACTTTATAAAAACTTTCTTGTAGAATTTTTGATCTAGATGGTGCATTGTGGAATTCATTTTTTGATTTCCCTTGTTTTCTTTATAAAAATGGGAACAACTGACGAGGTTTTGTATAATTTTTGTTGATTTCTGGGATACCTTGGCAACAATGGAAATAACACGACTAATAATACTCGGCTTAGAATCGTTTTTCGTTAGCAATCATTGCGTACAGATACCGATTTATTTGCACTGTACATTGTCTATTCATACTTTCCTTCTAAAACGGTGGCATATCTATCAGTAGTATCAGCGTTTTTTTTTTCACGATGATGACATAGTATTTATATTTCCGAACTACAAACGAATATTATTTGTTACAAAAAGTTTTACACGTACATAATTTTAACATAAATATAATTGCGAATTTTAAATATAGGTGAAAAACAATGTTATAATTATTATTATAAATAATAATACCTATAAGGTTGTAACAACTTCTATATAATATCTATATAGTTCAACAGACCCGGTGTCGGTATCGAATTCCGGTTTTATAAAATTATAAAATTTGATCCCGTAGCTATATAATATTTTTTATCTCTTTGTCGAGATTGGCTCTATCTTAAATAAACTATACTTAACTAAAAAAAAATTAAACCTTATAGCGAGGAAAACACAGTTGAAAATATTAGGTCTTCTATAAATAGTATCAGTGTATATGTAACTAGGTAGGTACATAATTATACACACCTGTATCCACACTAGTTACATATACCTAATATACATGCATATAAAAACAAACGATTTTTCGCGACCTTTATAATTATGCATTATAATATATATTATACGTGGGTACAAAGAGCATAAACATTATAATTACGTATTTATTTTCATAAGCGTTTTTTAATTGCTCAATTCGAATTTAGACGTTTTATACGAATAATAAAAACAGTACAATTTGTTTCATTACAAACCGTTTGTTATATAGTGTAATAATAAATGCATATATGTGTAAAAATGGTAAAAATAAATATTATTTCACTAGATCATGTTCAACATTTTAATATATTATTTTGGAATAATCGGGCGATTACTATAATACCGCAGTGCCTTGCGTCAAAGTCTCTCTGCTCTGTATAATAAACTCGTATTATTATATTATTACGAAACGTTATCAAACAAACTCACCGTACTGTATCGGCGAAATAATGGGAAATTCGTATATAAGGAATCACGGATTAAAAATAAACGCTGCGCCATCAAGCATCTTCCTGATTACACATTGTTTTTGTTACATAAAATATAAATGGGTTATTGTGTGTGTATTGTAAAATATAATTTAAATTACACAAAATAAACGAACAACCTACTCGCGATAAAGAAAAAAAAAAAGATACGTACTAGATAACTGTACGTAATTTACGTAAATTATAATATAGTTTCTCAACATTTTCGGCCAATTAAACATTATAGTTTTAGTATATCGAACAAACATTCAGTGTACAAAAAAAAAAAAAAAAACGCATATGTATATATAGACGTTAATAACTGCAAATAGAAACACACATTTTTTTTTTTTGTCTTCTAAATTGTATGTTTAGGTATTTAATATATTACTGGTGATTTTCATCAATCCCCTATCGATTCTAATATAACCAATTACAATGTATTTATTTGAATTCGTATACAGTATATTTAATATGGGAAGGGGGAAAACTTAAATTTGTTTTGAATACTGAAGAACATAATTGATGGATTTTGGATTTTAACTTACAAGTACAATCAGAATGTCGAAAATTGCTATAATATTTATTTATTCATTGGTGAACACCAATAAATATAGGAGCAAATGTGTATTAAAATTGGTTTTTCTCAATTATTTTATGAAAACAGCTTGAATGTTCAAAAAATGATTACCTCAATGCATAAATTAGATCTAAAATGCAATAAAAAAAGGTTTCTTGTTTTTTTTTTTGTTTGGAGAAAGATTTCTAGTAGTTGAGTTGTAGTAAAGTTGCCTACAGATAGAATAAAAACAAATAAATAAATAAGCACATATCATAGTAAAACCAATACATTCATCAGAATATAAAATTGTAACGCTCAGAAAATAATCTAAAACATATTATTGTTGAAAAAAACCGAATAAATTTAATTCACTGCAGTTCGAAATAATTTTTGGTTTGTATCTTAATGCAGAGTTCAAACTATAAAGGTTTAATTTTATATATTCCCTTTTATAGTTTTTGAATTATCGTTAATAAAGTCAAAACGAGTTATCATGTAGGTAATTTATTTCTATTTACATGTTTGATTACTAAATATTAAATAAAGTATATTTAAAGTGTGTTAAATAAAAGTAATTGGAAAAGTAATTGTCTATAATTTTAATTTTAAAATATTTAACTCGTTATTTGTAGGACATTAAAAGAAGGTTACTTATTTTTTTTTTTTTTTTTTTTTTTTTACGATAATAATAAGTTGGTTTTGTTAAATTATTACAATAATAATATAGTGATTAATAATTTGTTTGTTGATTATAATAACTTGATATTATGTATTCAAATATATTGACCTATATCATTTTGATATATATTTTTAAAAATTATATATTTGGTCTCTGGGAAAGAAGAGCTTATATCTATTTTGTGTAGTTTTCAATACAAACAAATTACATTTTTAAAATTTTTAAATGACATAATGGACATAATTATTAATTTACTTAATGGCCTATCCGAAATTCAGACGTTTTAAATGCCCTAAGTCATATAATTATATGACTCATGCCTTTTTTTATTTCAAAAAAAAAGTCTACCATATTGACTTAAGATATTTTAATACTATACATACTATACGTTTCGAGCTGAAAAAAAAAACGGGAAAAAAATTACATACTAGGCCACAATTATAAAAATCAAAAAAAAAAAAATTGACTTTATAAGTTGTCTCTATGAGTTGTGACCAAAGATATTGTTATTGCGTTTTAAATAATATATTATGTGCTGGGAATATATTATTTATTCTGAAAAAACGCTTGGCCAAAGCACTTATACATTATTGTAGTGTAGCTAAACCGAAAATGGTGAGCGAGTGCCGAGTATACTGCCCCCTAAAAAGTGCGTTTTCTGAAATCCAAAAAAACTAAAAAACTAGTCATATATTTACTCCATTCGTAAAGTAATTTAATAAGTGCCTAAATTTAACGGAAATACGACATGCATTTTGTCTGCATTTTATTCCGCCGCGAAGAACCCGAATTCCACACGTGCTTTTTCGCATAGATATTTGTTATTTAAAAATTATCCGCCCTTTTAACATTTTTATGAGCTCATGGCGAAAATTTCAATAATTATTGGCTATAATAAACTGTTGTACTTCTATAATACTCGTGTAATGCCGCGTATTATTATAATATTTTTAGACGTGTTAAAAAAAAAAAAAAAATTAAAATAAAAAAATACCGAACGCTAATAATATAGTGCACAGCTAGTTGCAAAGTATACTGTTTAACTCGTCCGTTATTTATTATGAATCTATAATTTACAAGCAATATAGTTAACTATTACTATAGCTGGTAGGTAGGTGCCTACCTATAATACGAACATCTCCATTAACTATCGGACTGACCTCTTCAGATAAAATAAAATTACGGTGTTAGTAGTGCTGTGGCGATTCGATTGTATTAAATATATAGGTACCATATCACGCGTCGAATTTCTGCGGTGAAAGCTTCAATTAATCGGAGATCGAACTATATTAAAAAAATAATAATAATAATGATAATAATAATAGTAGTATGGTATTTACATTGTAATTTGTATCGATGAGGAAAAAAATTGTAATCGTTAATGAAACTTATATATATAAAAATATAATATCTTGTAGCTTTTTCCATTTGACTATATACACTCGTGTACAGTACGCGTGGCCAGAGATATCACACTCGAAGAGTGTACCTGGCATTATAATATAAAATGGATCACGACTGTCGCATTGTCGTAATATAATGTTATTTTGATAACATTCATTGGACACACAGATCACAGATCATACAGATCACACACGAAATACTAATCAAATCGATAATCTACACCATTTTATTTTTCACACGCTTTTGTAGATAAGTAATATCACACTACACCGCCGTATGGAATTTACGTTATCTATTGCTTCGGTGATGGTGGATGATAGTAGGCGATAAATGTACACCAGTGTATTCCGATGGAAAACGCTATTAATTATTATAATACTAACTAATTTAACATTATCATAGTTGATACAGTTAAATAGAAGAAAAATCAAGGCTTCTTCGTCTCTATACGCGTAGAATAACTAACCCTTGACACATATCGGGTAGTGCTACACTTTAATTGTAATTTTATTGTCGTTATATTATTATTATACTCGCGTCTCGTTTTAGACTTGAACTTATACGTGACCGGGGTGTACGATAATATTATTTTGTATATCCGAGTCCGTATCGGATGTTTTTATATGTATAGGACAAGGTGAAAATTATTATTGTCACTTTAGAAAATCACCAGGTATGTAGTAAAATAATTCCATGATGGGAGTTTTAATTAATGCATAGGCACCTATATACTTATATGTTTTTATACATACTTTACCTACGCGACGCACGTGATGGGTTTTTTAAATTATCGTTTATAAACGAAACACACGCGTATATTATAGGAATATTACACATCTAACAACCTTTCTTTTGTCGTTCACGCATCAATATAACATTATTGGTACGGAATTATTTAGGTTTACACGTTTTGTATAATTTACGTCGAGATGCTTTTTAAAAACCAATAGTATACAATTGTGCTGTATCGTACATTTTTAATATGCCTATACGATTTGAACGACGATAGTATTTAATTTAATATAGTGTACGCATCGGTACCTTCGATACTTTTTCGATACTTAAGACAGTATCGAATATCGAAATCGTGGAAAACACATTTCGTTGTTTTAATATACTATATTATTAAAACAATAAATGATGATGACGTGATAATCACGTTAAATAGATTAAATGAAATGTATTAGTATTGGGGATCTATTGGTTTCACTATGATGTATATTTTTTTTTCAACAATTTTTCTCCTAGAAATCTTGCTACAATCAAACCATGACAAGAGGTCTTTTTGTTACATTTTGGCTCTAGTTGGTACTTTAAACAGGTAATTTTTTGAAATTTCCATTATTATTCCAGATAACTTGAAGATTAACTGGTTCTTTAAGTTAAATAAGATTAAAAGATTAAAAATAAGGTTGTCACTGCCAACCGTTTTGATTTATTTTTTGTTATTATTAAGTTTTTATTATTTTAATCTCTTTTAAATAATCGTTTTTGTGAAAATACACGTTGTTTTTTCTTCTTCTTATTATTATTTATTTTATAGTTTTTTTCCTTATTCAGAATGGTTTATCGTTACTTATAGGTATACATTAAATAACTTTATGTATTCCATCATCCCAACTACCCACCTACAACAATGGCTATACCCGTTTCGAGTATCCGCTCTTTTTTTAAAATTTGTATATCCTGATTTTAAATAGTGTTTTATAATAACAAATAATATTAAATATTAATTATTAATATATTAATATATAATTTTATTTTTTTTTTAAACAAAGATATCAATCTTTGATAATCGAGTAGTGGTAACGAGTATCAAATTGGTATTTGCCCATCTTTAACAAATAATCTATACGTTTTTTAATACAGTGTCCTCCGAACAATCAAGCCTGAAATACAAGTATTGCAGGAGTATACAACTTTTAATTAACTTTGAACCAGTTCAAAGGAGCAGGGGCATGCCCAACAATATTTAATAGGACGGGATGTAGTAAATAATAATTATGATTCGTAGATAAATTGTAGAATCTTCTTCTGTTCATAGTTTATACTCAAATCGAAAATGAGAATTTAAAAGCCAGGCCCAAAAACGCCAGTTTTATTTAATAAATCTAGCTTTTTTTCGTAGTAATTTAGCTAAAGTATATAATTTCGTGATAAAATTACCAAATTAATATTTATATTTATTTTATTTTTAAGCCAATGCAGGATGTAACCCTTAAACTCCTCCTGCGTAAGCCACTGTTTTTGATCACCGAAATATCTGATTCTTTAAATCAGAGTACTAATTTTGATCTATAAATTTGATTAATTTTAATACGGCGATTCGTCAAGGTTAAACATGCTGTTATACTAAACACTACACTAGTAAACAAAATAACAAGTTGTATTATTTGTCGAGTGTTAAAATAGTAAAGAAAATTAATGTTTTCATCGAACGAACAATTCGAGATGCGTGTAATACAATGATGTAGACTATATTATTGAAAAAAATGATTATATTCTTCCTACAAATGTTACCAACACGAACGAATATAATAATATAATATACATAGTTTCGTTTTCGATTTTTTCTCCCTCCGTTTTTAAACATAACACGGAACACTAGGCAATCGTGTTTGATGCGTCGACGCGCTTTAATCCGTGTAATAATATATAATATTGTATACAGTTTTTTTGAAATTTTATACAGTTGTATAACAGATAAAAAAAAAAAAAAATAGTCATAATAATAATACGTTTGTGTTATACTGTCGTTGGTGGAAAGAAATCATAACGGCGTGGGAGCGTTTTCGAGCGTATTAAAGAGGAACACGTAATATTATAAAACACGATAAATACACATACGCACCGGCACTTTGTACACAATTTAAACTATTTCAAGGATTTAATTTCAATTGTTAATCATATACATATATGTATCCACGATTTATCCACCCGTGTGGTGACATTCAACAATGACGATATTTCGTCATTCCGGTGTATCTATATGCGTATAATTTTTCGCGATGTAATACGCGAAATATCTCAATAATATTTGGTTAACTATATTATCATATTTTCAAGATAAACGGATGATAGTCCAGATTACATCCAGGGTCGGATACAGAAGGCTGCTTGTTGTTTTCATTTTTATAAACGGTAAACAGCAGTGCCTGATAGCGTTCCCTATCAATACTTAATTATGGGATCCTTATTGCTTCTTCGTCTCAAGACACTATTACAGGTTTGAATTTGCTTGTAAAATAGGCGCAAATAGCGGACGGGGGGGGGTTGGCCAAAAAATTAAAGATTTATTGAACCTGAACGTTTTTGTATGTTTTGAAAATGAAATGAATGATGACTTATGACTTTTTCTTTTTTCGCTATTTAAATTTTTTCTAAAACGCTCTTTCATTTTAATCTCCTTGAGTTCAGTTTACGGTAATAGAATTAACTAGAGATACAGAGTAGGTATATACGATTTCGGTATACGACGTTATAACGCGAATATTTAATATTGACGTTCGATTTAAATTTAGAAGAAAATAAAATAGAGAAGCCAACTGCGTAAAATAATATTCGTTGAAAAAAAAAATTTTAACGTAAACACATAACGGCGTGAGAGTTTTTTCAACGACTACTGAATAGTACACGACGGTGGTGTCCAGTGTGTATATAGAGAAGGTCAATGTCGCCGCGATATTAGCGAGTGAAAGTATAAAAAAATGTAATATTATTTACGACGAACACTGCAGATAACCTTCACCGGTGCTAAATAAAATAATAAAAATAGAATAAAAAAAAAAATAAAAAAAAAAAAAATACACATGGCGTATGTCGTATTCTCGAACGGCACGAGGTGCTCTCCGTGTTTTAACAGTGTAAACACGCGCACAGCGCACGGTTGGCATTTTAATTGAAAGACGCGCGCGTGTTATAGTACTACGTGTGTTTTGTACATTGATATTTCGTTTTTACCGTAGGTACAGCAGGTAGGTATATTATTGGCGTACACTATTTTTTACTGCACGACACGTACTCGCGGGTAAAAGTCACTATCGCGAGCATTGTATTACCCCCGTCCATTCATTCGTTCATAAATAATGCCAGTGATCGAATTAGAAACATGAAAGAAGAAGTACTATAGAACTCGCAAAAACAATTAGAGTCTCTTGTAGTTATATTGTACTCAACGTAAACCGTGGTGGGCCTACACACTAGGGTAACCATATTTACAAAACTTAAAAACCGGACGAAATATCTTGCATAAAACAGAATGTATGTGGTCATTCTAACCTACACTCCACATTATACAATTTTTAAACATAATTTGGTGATTAATAATTTACAAAAAAAAAGTTAAAAACACTACTGTAGTTTTTCATTATATATAAACGAGTACATTTATTTTAGATTCTACCAGTGGCGTGCCGACGGGAGAAATAGGGAGGCGATCTGAATATTTTAAGGCTAAGCCTAAGGCTGGCGTCACACGAGCGTACAAAATGCGCCCGTTACGACGGACGTACTTTTTAACGCGCGTGTTATAGCGGGCACACGAGTGTTGAAATGACGTCCGTTGAAAATAATTCTAATTGTAAATTATTGCTATATATTTGTACATTAGTCATATTATACTAGTTGTAAACGGTAGTGTCAATCGATTAATTTTTACGATTTTTTACGATGGATACATATAATGTTTTTATTTATGGTTTTTTAGTGTGATTATACACTAAAACAAAAACAAAACATAGAAAAATTAGGTTAATCCAATCGGTCTTCATCAGTTGTATTCCATGAAACTCGATATTTTTGGACATCACTAATTAACAGCTAGTTGTCTAAACTAAATACATAAAATTTTGAAAAGAAATTGAAGAAAATGTCCAACGTGTTAATTTCAGTATGAACGTTTTGTAAGTAATTTCAGGTTGTAGTTTCGTTCACTTCAATACACTCACAGTACCTTGTGAGCACGTGTGTCCATTTATATTCGAACAATCAATATAATTCTAAACGCACGTTGATAATTTTCCGACGTGTGTACTAGAAAAAATACGTCGATAAAAAATTGACGTCCGTAAGAACGCGCGTTATTTTTAACGTACGTTGCTCGTGCGCCCGATCCCAAAACCGACAATGTACTTCTACGACGCACGTCAAAAAGCACGAGCGTATCGACGCATTGCTCTATATGAAAATTGTTAACAAAACGATGAAAACTCAGTGTTAAATCTCCACGGGGGAGGGTCGAGGGTTCGTCGCTAGGTAGGTGGGTATCAGATTAAAATGCTCGCCTTTTAAAATATTTGAGTTGGCCACGCCACTGGATTCTATACTACGATAGATTCACCAGGTAAGAAGTGTGTTTTTTTTTTTACCGTGGTCTTAAGTGGAAAATAGGTATACTGAATATTTAGCGCAATGAGGAGGTCGTCATCAGTGTTATTATCTGTATTACGTATCCACTTAATCAATGATGATAATAATGTTTTTACTGTAAAGCGGTATAATTGTTATTAATTGTTTATCCGCGGTCGTAATTTATAAAAAATATATGTATACATATATGTGTATACGATTGCTAAACGTTCATGGTTATCCATTGTTTACACTATTGGTACCTAGGTCGCTATATATTATTATAATTATACGGTTTTCTTTTATTTTCGTTTAAACGCACGTTTCGCGATTGTATAAGTTCTGTTTTTACTATTATCATTATGCTCGTGTTTATACTGGACGCGCGTGCCGTACCTACAAGATTTACGGCCCGAAATCCACTGAGATCATAAACCGTTTGTTACGTAATGTACGTTTGTACAACGAGAATAGCTGATAGTATAGATACCGTTTGTGCTCTATGATAATGTGTAAACAGTTTTGATTTCCGTTACTATTTTTCCTCCAGCTGATTTTATCGCTCGGGATTTACGTTAATTTTAAAAAAAGAAAAGCCATTTCGTCATCTGCTACAAATCTACACACGTTTATGAATAGTATTTTAAAGTAAAATATTATTGTTGTTTGGTAAATGAGTACTTTCGCTGCGATAATTTGATATTGAAATTCCTTTATAAAAAATATACTACATTAAGCACAAATGTTTTTTTTTTTTTTTTGACCACAAAGTTTGACTTATAATGACGTCCAGTTAAATTTTCGCGCGTTTCTGTTTGGTTTAATTATTTTATCTATAGAGTACCTACCTAATAAAAATTTACTAATCAAATTTAAATATCTATATAAATAGCTTAAAAATGGATGAAATGTTTTGAAAATTTTATCACGTCTAGAAATTACAAGTATAGGTTTTCTCTCATAATGTCTCTGTAAATATTTTTAACTGAAACACAACAAAAAACAAAATTTAAAATAATATATTTCGTACATTTTCCCGTTTTTCCAACGATTTTTCCCAATTGTCATGAAAACCACTTGGAAAATCAACAACCATTCTAAAGAACTAACCATATAAAATTTCATTTCAGAAAAAATACTACACTTTAAATCGAAGAAAAATGTCTAGTAGAAAAGTTGTTTATAGAAAAAAATTATAAATTAATGTAAAACCAAGAAGCTTCGCTCAAAATATAAAAGGTCTCTTTGTTTCTTGATTGGAGCAATATTTCAGTTAGAAAAGTTATTCATAGACATAATGTCTATACCATAATAATTATGGTAAAAAAAAATCGCTCCGTAATGCAAAAAAATGCATTCAAGTGGCAAGTTTTAAAACAATATTATAATTAATTTTTATAAAATGTGGTCAAATTATACAGTGTACAAGTAAAGTAGGGGAGGGGAAAATTAAATTATTAATTTAAAATAATCTACTTGTGTAGATTATACAGATTATAAATCTACTTAAGAAATGTTAAGAAACTTATTCGTAATTTTTTTTTTTTGACAGATAAAATGTTCTATTTCGTTTTTTATATTTGCGATTGTCAGTTCATCTGACTGACCAATGAATTATTGTAAAAAATTAAACGTCATAGACATTATTTTAAATGCCATATGGTAATAATATTCTACCTATTGAATAAGATATAATTTATATTGAGAGTTTGTACATAATAGCATGCGTAAAATTTAAGTGAATGAACCCTGCAGTTAAATAATAATCTTATTGTAGTTAATAGACAGTTATTAACAACAACAATGATAATAATAATAAATGCAAAATTCTCAATAAATGTTATTTTTACATGATTTATTGTGTCATACACTTTCCTTTTTATTTTATTTTTTTTATCATACGTGTTACTGTTTTGACTTGATACTATTACACTAGGAGAATTGATTTGATCACACATTCTACACCTACTGTTAAATAGCAAGACAAAAGAACAGGAAATTATATTTTTAGACAATAATAAAGAAAAAAAAATTATGAAACCGTTTAGACATATCTCTGGAACAAAATACCGATTTTGGTAAAAAAAAAAAAAAAAAACAGAAAGCCATTTATAAAATATATTTTATCACGAAATACCATATTATGTATATTGCAAATATAAGTTATTATTTTTTAAGCTTTCTATGTGAGTTTTAAGTACAAGAAGGTAGAAGGAAGGTTGCGTATGGACTTCAAAACTATACAAATAATTATATAAATATTGTTTATATTGAACGAAATCGGGGAATCACTTATGCTCCGGCAATATACAATAACCAGAGATAGGGTTTGGACGTTGTAGCCCTTTAAAACATTAAAAAAAAAACAACCAAACATTTTAAAATAGCCCCGAAAATAACTAGTAATTAAAAGAAAAAACAATTTAAAATTAGAAAATACCCTCAAAAAATTTGAGAAAAGAAATGTCTAAAGTTAAATATAAAAATTTCGTCCACTTTCGATGTATGAAACGGATACGTAGTCGTGAGTGCCGTGTTATTTGTAGATATGTAACTAATTATACATGCCGGTGTATGATTGTACAGAATTTTACCTGCGGTTTCTCGTTAGTAATATCTACCTGAAAGAAAATTAATTCTTGGCGTGTAAAAAACCGTTACAGTACCGTTGTATAAAAAAAAATTCAATTTGAAAATTGCGACATTATTTGATTTGGCCAAGATAGATATTTTGAAATTATCGTAATATCCATCATACTTCAATTTCTGTCACCCATAATAATTTAATTTAATTTGACAATAACATATATTTTATAACCGTGTTATGGTTTAATTTGTATAGGTGTTGTAATAATTAATACTGATTGGTCATTGACAAACAAGTTCATAATTTTCGCACCTACTCGTAAGGATGGGAATTCTATAAGGGGAGGGGACTAAACAAATTTACTTTTCGTATGCTTTAAAAATTTATTTGTAACATAAGTTTTAATTATTGTATAATAATTTAGTATAAGTTCTATTTTAAAATTATCTACATGTAAAAGGTGGCTTCAGTAACTCCCATTTTCTTGTATCCATCCCTGCTTATTCGTTTATACACAATAATACCGTGATTTTTGTTTGTAAATTTTAACCTCGAATTACTTTAATATTTCAAATACAAATAAAATATATTTTTTAATAATGTTTCGTAGTACACATACATAATATGATGGCGTCAATCATATATCTTTAATCCCATAGAGAATAGAATAAGTCAATATTATATAGTTTTTAGTACAAGCAGTTTAAATTTCAAAAATACGTACACTTATACATTAATACACTATATACACTGATTTTGAAAATGTATACAATTATGCCAATTGGACCGAAAAATAAAGGGTAACAATTTCATAAGACAAAATTGTAAGAAAAAATGCCAACAATTCAGCCCTTCTTTTCTAGAACTAAAAATACATTGTTTGGTATAATACTACTGATATAATACTGATATGGTTTTAATGTATAATATTGGACAATTGAACCGAAAAAAAAATAAAGTTCACTGTACCTACTAGCTGTGGTTTTGTTTTTTATTTTTCGCGAATCACCAAAAAAAAAAAAAATGTTTTTAATGATCGCTAAAGCGCAGTGTTCCGGAGGGCCAAAAATGTAAATACGTCTGTGGTAAAGTCCACGTCATATTTTTAAATAACGGGACCATTGTCGGATGTATAATTATTTGATTATAATTATACACTGTGTTATGCTAATAATTAATACATGTCATATAATTATATAATATTTTTCGATGATTTCTTTTTATTTTTATAATAATTAATATGTTGTTTTCGTATGATTATTCAAAAAATAATAATGTATGAAGAAAAATATGATGTTATATAACGAATAGAAAGGAAATATTATACTACTATATTACATTTCAATAGTCGAGTAACTCCAATGAATTATAAATTCGTATTCATGACACTTAAAATAATTATTGAAATGAATTACATACATTATTTATTTTTAACTACGTAACGAAGTAAGCAAATGACGAAATGTTATTTAATATAATAATTTCGTGTGTTTCAGGAGTAAATGGGTTTTACCGCTGAACAATGATGTGTGCAAGGATTTTTACCTGTTGGATTTCTCTGAGTATCCTTTTGGGTAAATATTTATAGATATTCGTATATACTTTGATTTGAAAAATTAGTTATACATTTGTAATATTATTTTTTTTTTTATTTAGGATCTGTTTTATTTGTCAGAGGTGAACATTTCTTTTTGCCCAAGGAAAACAATGTAAGTGAAATAATTGTAATTGTCGAGCGAGTTTAGATTAACATTAATACAAGTATAATTTCAAATAGGTTTTCTCCAACGATTTGCAAGATGACTGGATACCGGTATCTGGTATTGATAAAAGGTCGACCAGGCCAAATCACGGTTTTACGCAAATGGTCCACATAACTCCACCGATACGATACCCTAACCAGCCGCTCAACCAACAGTCGTCGGCTTCCAACAAGGTCGAAGTGTTCGCACAACCACCGCCTATATTGGGTTCTTTTAGTGAATTCGGTCATGCGACCGTCGAAGCTCGAGAGCCGACGCACGCTTTGAACTTTAGACCCAGCTATAGCTTTGACAGGAACTACGAAGAAATAGACGAACGACGTTATCAACAAAACGACTTTCACGAGTCTTCTGAAGAACAAAAGCCTCCATCGATTGTCGTATTCAACGCTCAGCAACGTCATCCTCAAAATTATCATAAAATTGCACCCCCACAATCACAACCCCAGCCATTTTACCAAAATTATCAACTTCACAATAATCATAATAACCATAACCTTAACAACAACCACAATACTATAAATAACAACCATAATCCCATTAACAACCACAGCCCTAACCATAACCAACACAAGAATCATGGATTCAAAGAGCCTGCACTGAATGTACACGAGCTTGCTCCTCCCAAGAGGCTATCGTCTTATTACGTTCCCAACGATCGTATTTATCCGAGACCACCAGGTAACAACAAACAAGTGTACGCGGAACAAAGACCTAAACCTTTTCTGGTGACCCCGGCAGATCCGATTCAACAACAACAACAACAACAAAAACTGCCGCAACACCACCAACAACATATACAACCTCAGCAGCATCAGTTTAAGCCATCGGTGGAAGCAGATGAATCCTCTGGATACTTTCAGAAATATCCTGGTATTGTGGAAAATCAGAAATTGTTCCCGGAAATATCGCATTTCGCGCGACCGTTCGAGCAAACCAATAACGATCACAACGTGTTTATAAAACCCAACCAGTTCGTGCACAACTTAAACGTAGGCACAGAAGTGCGGTTTGGCGTGCAAGAACAAGGCGGCGATCAGCCCCGAAAACCTGTCTCATCGTTGGACTTACCGGCAAGACCGGCGGTTCCGTTACAAGAATTGCCGAAAAGACCGCTGGCGATCCCGTCGGAATTTTCTGCTAGACCGTCCATTTCGTTGGATCTATCGACAAATTCTGCAGGGTTTACGCATCCTGCGACCAGACCGTTCAGCAAATTTCAGACACAATCTCCCAAAAATGAAGAGTTATATCGGATATTCCCGGTAAAAGAAGTGAATGCGTTGCCCACTTTCTTACCTACCCCGGTAACGTTGGTCCATCAACCAAAGTTACCGTACTTCAAGGAACCGGTGGTAAACGGTGGATCGTCTGAGTACGATACACACGAGGAACTAGACGAGAACGATTCTAGTGAACAATACGACATACTGAAGAGCCCGACGAAGCCAATGGTGACCAGTACCACGACCACTAGTACGACTACTACCACGACACCGGCACCGCGGACGACGCGCAAGAGAAAGCCGTCAACAACCACGACAACCACCGTCGCACCGCCGTCCGATGATTACGAAGAGTACGCGGCGGTACCCAATCGTCAACAGCTGCAGTTACAAGAGCTACAACAAGAATACCAGCCGCAACGTGATTACCAACATCATCGACCGGCGGCGGAACATTACGAGACGACGGTGGTTACGACCACGACGGAAGCGGCAAGGGAAGAACGACCGGTACCACTACCGGTGTCGGTGAACAAGTACAAGAAAAAGAAACCGTTTCCGGTGTCCAGGCCCAAGGAACCACAGGAAACGGCGGCGGTCGACTTCGGCCAAGACGAAGTTCCGGAACGTCCAGTGACGTTTACACAGAGTCCTACGACTACGACTACCACGACCGCGGCTACCACTACGACCACGACAACTTCTGCGCCACCGCAATCGTCAAGTGCCGAAACGGCGGTTGTCACGGAATCACGACCAAAGATCAAAATCAAGTACGGAAACGGTACGCGACCGCGGTTCAGTATCAAAGACTACAAAACCTCAACCACATCAACGACCACGACCACTACGGAGAGACCACGATCCTCGTTGGTAAGTCGGCGAACGACCACCACTACTGCCGCGACTCCAGAAACTGATGCCGAGACCGTTGTCGACCAGCAGCAGACTACAATTGCCGTCAAGAAAGTGTACAAACCTCGTGTTCGGCCCAACCGGTACAAGCAAGCGTTTACGGCCACTACGACCACCACGACCACCACGACGGAGGAACCGCAACAGCTTCAAGAAACCACGACGGAACGATCGGGGGCGGCATACCGTAGCAAATACAAGCCCGGCAAGTATTTAAACAGATTGAGAACGAGTACCGAAGCGATAACGGTGCAAGACGAGACAATTGAACAAGTGGCGGTCACAGAACCGGCTAGACTGGCCGTGTATTCAGCGAAACGGAAGACCGTACCGTCCACCAGGACGGCCATGCCACCGCCAGCCATGGTCACGGTCGCCGAACCAGAGAACAACGGTCTCAGGAGGAGCTCGTCCGTATCGCCGCCGATCGATGCTTACGACTCCGCCGCGTCTTCTGAGTCCATGATGGACGCTGCGTCCTCCGAGGACATGGACTACGTGGCTACCACGGTCGCGGTAACACTCCCCGCGTTGCCCAGACACAAGTACCACACTTCGTACGTGGCAGAACGGCCGCTACTACCCATCGAATCCTTCTTCCAATCGTCGATGGCCGGCAAGCAGCGGCGTCATCATCACGTACGGCGATGATCATGCGAGCGCTCAACATAACAATATCATAACTTAATCGCTACTATTATTATATTGTAATAAATTATTTTAATGTTGACAAATGGCCAAGAAAGATCCGACCACAATAAATTTAGAATGAAAACAAAATTAGATTTTTCGTTAGAATTATTTTTGAAAAAACTCACCGAAACCCCACTTACAAATATTATGTATACTGGTCGGATAATTCTTGGCCATCTTCGTTCAATAGGTATGGCACGAATTAAATATTTCGTTAGGTACCTACGTCATAAAACGTCGCTGAACTACATAATATTTCATATTATCAATTATTTCTAATATTATTAATATAATATTATAATCGATGTGACATGATCGTTGTAGTCCATTGATTTTTTTAGTCTTTAGAATTAATATTGTACATAAAATTAATATTTTTGTATTTAATTTAATTATTTTTATACATATATATATATATATATATATTTCTTATATTTAACGTATTTATATTATAACTATATTATCTTAGTATCATTATCCGGTAATACAAAAACGTATTTATTTAGATAGTAAAAATTATTATAATTCCTCCACTATACCTACTATAAATTATTTATCGCGTGTTCGGAATATTATTGAAAACCCTTCTATGATACAAAACTGAAAATTATGAACACACACACATATGTATAATGTTTGTGTTTTCTAAAATATTCTAATTGTACGATAACTTTTTCGTTTACTAATCAATAACTCTATAGATTATTTCTATAATAATATCGTTGAATCAATTTGAATTGGAATTACATTTTTTACATGATAATAAAATTAATTTTCACTGAACGTATTAAATTATAGAAAACGCTGTAATATTGTACGGCGAATAATAGCAATGATAATAAAATTATAAAATTTATGTGAATATTACTACACTCGTCAAATAATACAATATGTTTTGAATCTATTAAATTATATAATATGGTTGTTATTTTGTATTAGAAATTAGAAGTCGTAAAAGCGATAGGTTAAAATATAAAAGTAAAATATATTACACGAACACCCACACACACACACACACACATATATATATATATATGAAGGGCACAGAAATAGGGTAGTCGTCCATTTTTGAAAATTCATCGGCAGAACGAAACTTCTCTATAAACGTATGAACTGCGTTCTTTCAGTACATCCAATATTATTCAATACTTATCCAAGTGAAACCTTTTTTCGTCGAATGAAACTCAATATTTGATATCGTAATAGTCTCAAAGCGCCGTCGAATGGCAACGCATTATTATAAAATTGAAAAAAAAAAAAAATGAACTACAACCCTTCTTTCCTAGTGTCCTTCGTAAATATATATAATATATTGTAACGTAGAAAAATGATATGTACTTATTTATTTTTTACTATTGTACATCAATTATTATTTTAAAAACGCTGCGGATAATCATATTATTAATATAAACGAAGTTAACATTATTATATACTATTGTATTGTCGTAGATCCATAATTTGTATTGCTGAATAATAATCAAAATAATATTACAATATCCATTTAATATAATAAATTTGATCTAATTCAATATTATGTAATAATGTATAATTCACTATGTACTATATACTTGTACTATACTATGTACTTCATCATTATTACTCTCTGGATATTGTTATGGTATTTACCGATTTTAAACGCCTTAATATACCTAATATTTTTTATTTTAATATTATATACATGTTAAAAAAAAAAAAACTTTGATTATTATTGCTAAATTAAATTTCACGTAAATAATTCATATAATATAATATTATTTAAAATATTTATTAAACGTATAATTTATATGTATTTGGATACATGTTTATAATTTACAAATTAATAATATTTTAATAATAATTCCGTCATACTGTATAAGATATTATGTTCAGTGGCGTATTTCAAAGGAGAGCGAGGGGTTTAGGCCCGCTTCTTGGTTTGCATTAATTGTACATTTGTACATAATACTATTTTTCACGGGTTACTGGGTCCATATCGTCACACATCTTATCCTCCACATCCTTCACTTCTTTCCTCACCATAGTTAGATCTTCCCATCCTAAAGGTTTTTATTTTCTAAAGATCTCTTTACTTTCTGATTCTCGTCCATTACAACATGTAAAAATGGATTCTGATTTTGTGACGATCACTATAACCTTCTATTCTGAATTTCTCTAACGTGTTATGCTCGGTTTTAGCTCGGTGTATTTTATAATTCTCCATTCAACGGTTGGTCAAGATTAGCTTTTTTCATAATTTATTTTTTAGAAAATTTAAGAAACAAGCAGCACTGAAATATTACTTAGCCTATTTTTGTCATCCTTAATGTTGAAGGTTAAATCTATATATTAAAACACCATAAATAGATGAAATTTTAGTTTATATAAATTCTGTTGTTAAAAATTTTAATTTTCGTCAATCTATTGTCGAGGTATTTTACTTTTAAATTTGGGTTGGGGAGAGTGGTGTCACACAAATTATATTCCATTACTCACCTTTACATAAATATAAAAGTGAAATATTGGTATTTAAAAATCAAAAGTTGGTAATGGTTTCATCCCCGAAAATAAGGATGGAAAAAAATAACGAAAATGTAACAATAAATGTACAGTTACTTGTTTCTTAAATTTTCTAAAAACAAATTCCGACGAAAGTTAATACTTTCCAAGATAATGAGTGTCTTACGCTATGTTTATCACTCTGTGTATAATAATAATATGGACAATGTGTATTTTACAAACGAGAATAAAACATTATAAATACGTTGCTTGTCATAAAAATGTCTGCCTTGAGAATATACTGCTGTATAATGGCCGAAATAATTTTCGAGTATATCTACTCGATTTATTTGTTTTAACTAATTTATTTATAAAAAATAATTATTATAATTATAGAATTAATAACTATGTAATGATTCAGGAATAAGGATAGCGTTTTAAGTGTACATTATTTAGTGTATTATTTATATTACATTACACCCAGTACTCGAATCAGACAAATGAAAGAAGAGGGACTATAATATTTAAAAAAAGTTTGCATGCTTGGCGATTATTGAACTTAACGTAACGCATGGGAAATTTTGCCCCAATTTTATTTAAATAAAAATCAGTTATACAATATGTTACGACCCGACACGATCATTATTTTGGTAATATTGTTTTCTGATAAAGAAAATGAATAGTTACGAACAGTGGCGTAACCGGATAAAAATTTAGGAGGGGGGTAAAAAATGTATCTACCATAATATAAACCCTGAGGTCCCATTTCCGGTTTTAATATATTTATATTGTATGTATTGTATACGGTATACCTACAATTGTTTGTTTTGACAAAAGTCTTAAAACTCATCATTTTATGGTTTAGAAACAAATTGTAAGTAGCAGGTACTAGGTACACATGCTATTAAAAACATTAAACATACGTACAAAAGAGTTCATTAATATAAAAGTACTGTAAGTAATTTAGAAAACACTAACATACTTCACACGAAGCGTGGACTACTGTTGTAGGCGACAGTTAAGTTGGGGAGGTAGGTCAATCTGTACGCAACGATTAATCATGCTAACGAAAAACGATTCTAAGAGAAGTTTGAGTATACAGATTTTAAAAAAACCTTAATATTTACGATTTTCGTCAAAATTTTATACTACAACAAAAATTAAAATTGAAAATAGTGAATTTCATAAATTTTAATTTTTCCCATTTTTTCTAGGTTTTTCTCAATTATTATGAAAACCGCTTAGAAAATCAAAAAAATGACCTCCCTAAAGTACCACCCAGATAAAATTTCTTTTCAGAAAAGGTACTGCACTTAAAAAGTAAGATTTCTGGTATAAAATTTGTTTATAGATAAAAAGCAAATAAAAATAAAAATAATAAATACCATTATAAAACCAATACATTCCTTTTTCCGCACAGAACCTAAAAGTAACTAATAGATATTATTTGCACATACTTGTTTTATATTTTATGAATATATTACATTTTTTCTCAATTTAAGGTGATTGAAAGATTTCTACTGTTAGATTATCTTGAAGGGGTTGGGGGAATTATACCTTTGCCTATTCCCAAAATGTTAGAGGGGTAAGTGCCCCCCCCCGCAATCACGTCACTGATTACGAATATACTAAATATAATTGAGGTTCGACTACGGGCGTCCTCTATTATAGAAATTTGTTTTTGTGGGCCGACATATTAATTGAATGGCGAATCGCTAAAAGTTAAGTCACCTACCAAATATCTATTATTATACTTTCAATTTTGAACATAACGATGTACGTGTGAAAAACGGAGAAAATAATATTATCTATTCATTGATTCCACAAATAGGTATATATAATCGTGTATTGCAGATTGACCACGAATGAATAGTACCTATCTATATATTAATCGTGGACATTGTCAAAAAGAAATTTGTACTACATATTTTCACCAAATAACATAACGAAATAATATTTGTAATAAATAACATTTTGCGTGTATGGCGCATTGTCTTTTTAATATCGCTTTGTCGGTTTCTTTTTTTTTTCTTTTTTCTATCTATTTATTAACAGTATCAGGTTTGACAAAATACTGTGCAACTTGACGCAAATAGTTATCTACTCTAAAACTATAAGTTATAACTATTTTATTTTTATTTACGTTTTGCTTGTTATTTTTCCAAGAAGACTCATGCGACTCAAGAAACTCATGCGTGATATTGGTCTGTGTTTCGTTAAGAAAAAAAATCCTGCAACATTTTAATACATTTCTCCATACAATAATGTATTCTCGGTATAATATTTATTCTGATTTGTTGATTATTTGGGAGTGCAGAAAAACCTAGAATCTGAAAATCTGAACAGTAAAAATCTGGTGTTTTAAAATTAAAAATCCCTACAAATTTGGACTGAAAAATAAATTGTTAAAATCGTATTTAAAGAAAAAGCAAATATCGAAAAACTAAAAACAGCTAACTCTCCTATAAAATAGTCGATTTGTGTGCGATGGCATACAACTTTTGACCTCTTGACCGTCGATGACATACACACGCCCTAACGCCTTAATATTCGTGAAACGTATATTTTATTTGTATTGCACGCATTATTATTATGAACTTTATCGATGTAATAATAGAATCACATCACCACGCGTAATATGAATATGATAATATCACCTATTGTTTATTCAATGTTTTATAATAATACACGTTCTCTGCGTGTAATGCTGCGGGTATTTGTATTATACTTCAGTTTAGTCGCATTATTATAAATCAATATAACCAATATTATAAGTGATTATTATTAAATGAGATACAGGTATAGGTAAATATAATAATATAACTATTACGCGAGTTGGCTTGGAGCTAAAACGCAGCCGTTTTGTCAGATTTCTAATCGCAGAGATATTATTATATACACTTACCTATAAAAGCATAATGTTGTTAATACGGAAAAAAAAAAAATAAACCAATTATTCGATGGAAATTACGCCACACGGTCGAATTAAAAATATATTAATTATCAATCATTATGTGCACGCTGGACTATACGTGTGGGAATCGACATGTTACATTATACATGTTTGCGAACGATGTTTATGTGATGTATAAATTATGTAGTGGCGAGATGAGCGAAATGATAATAAAAAAAGACAGACCTATTTCGCACGTGGGCGCAGTCACTGTTATAGGTGAAAAGTTAGGAAGGTAGTAGAGGGGAAATTTAATGTATATCTGTACGATAAACCATTGCTAACGAAAAGACGATTTTGAGCGGAATTCAGTTGATAGTGTTGCTGTGTCAACAATACATATACCATATTATGGTAAAATAATTACATAGCTATTGTATATTTTCTTTAATAATATATGTTTAATATTTTACTTATTTTTCCGTTCTTCCTAGTAGCAGTTTTTCTGAATTATTATGAAAACCCCAATTTCCTTTCAGAAAGAGTGCTACACTTGAAAACTGGAGCAAGATTTTCTGTAGAAATTATGTACACAGTATATATATATATATAAAAAAATAATTATCATTGTAAAACGTATAAAAAAAACGTTAAGATTTTAACTACTTGCAATCAGCAGCAGCAGTCGGTCGGAATGTGCTGAGTATCCCACGAATATCTGACAAAAATGAAATCATTTTTCTGTTTAATAATTACTAAAGTCTTGCGTCATGATTTTTCTATTTAATACTTACGTTTATTTTGAAACAAAATGCTCCCGATCTTTTTGAAAGAGCTCCTTATTTCACTCGTATCTTATTCGTAACCACATTTATTGTTAATAACTATGTCTTATCAATTATTATTAGTAAGCATTCACAAAACAAACATTTTAATAATTACAAGAATTATTCTCGTATTTGTAAAAAAAAAAATGGACATACTTCGCACGTGGGTGCAGCCACTTTTGTAGGTGGAAAGTTAGCAAGTTAGGATATGGACGAGATTTTAATGTATATTTGTAAGCAACGATAAACAATTACTAACGAAAAAACGAATCTGATCGGAGTTCAGTTGATAGTGTTGCTTTGTCCACAATATATATGTCATACTATGGTAAAATGATTACAATAATGTGCGTTTTCATGACAACAATGATTGTTTAAATATTATTAAAATAATAAAACTTAATTATAACAAAAAATAAATAAAAAGGTTGCCAATGAAAACCTTATTTTTAATCTTTCAATGTCTATTTTAACCAGTTCCGTCACTATCTCGAATATTGATGAGAATTTCAAAAATTACCTCTCTAATTTATAGACTCTAAAGTACCACCCAGAGAACATTTCCTTTCAGAAAAGGCGTTATACTTAATAATCGGAGTATGCTTTCTGGTAAAAAAAGTGTTTACATAAAAAAAAAAATGTACATCATTATAAAACCAATACATTCCTCGCTCCACTCAAAATCTAAAATTTAATTTTAATTTCAAAAAAAATATAGTAAAAAAAAAAAAAGCATAGTGCAACAGGCTCTACTAGTACAAAAAAACAAAAAAACAAAAAAAAAAAAAACTTAAAAATATCGATTAATGCAAAAGTTAATAGGTATTTAATTTGTCACAAATATCTTCGGAATACATAACTTATACATTTGTTGTTGTTGATGAGGTGGTTTTCGAACTAAAA